ACTCGTGGTAGAACGCCTCCAACACCGCCACCACCCTGTTCACGTTCTCCTGGTAGGCCGCCTCAGTTGCGGCACTAGGCACCTTCATGGACTTGATCTTCCACTTCTGCGAGGCTTGCGCAAAGAACTGCACCCTGCACGACCGCCTGTGCCGCACCCACTCCACCACCTCGCTGTCAATGATCGGGATGAACTCGTCGCTGACATCTGGCACGCTGGGGGTCTCGCAGAGTAGGTCCATCGAATCTGGCGTGAGCTCGAGACACAACTTCGCCCTGGGGTCCGCCGCAGTGCGAACCCGAACGTCACGCGAGGCGCCGTCCTCCAACTTAGCGGTGATCACCGTCGAGCTGTCGATCTCGTCAATCAGCTCCTTGCGCGGGCGTTTGAGCTGGTACACAGCGGGGGTGGACTGGGAGGGCCCGCCCAGCGGGTCGACGCCCATGTCCGCCACGGCCATCATCTCGTTGGTACGCTTGTTCCTGAGCCGCACCAGCTCGTCGATCATGGCAACCTTGCCGCCTGTGAAGCGCACGAGCTTGTTATCTAGCTTGTCGGCCACGACGTACTTGCGCAAGTCGGTGTGCTGCACGACTAGCGGGTACCAGCTGTTGCCACTGTTCGGGCTGGCTGCCCGACTCACTTGGACGAACCCCTCCACGATCGAGCACATGTCGACGCGAGCGGCCCGCGCGTAGGTCGATGGCAGGGCGCGGGGAGCTGAGCGACCTCGTTTGAGCCAGAGCCGAAATGGTTACGGACGGCGATGTCGTTTCTGATGATACTTATTTGAGGCGGCCCCAGGACATTTGTCTTCAGGCGACCCCATGCTTGCAGTGCTGTCTTCCACGAGCCCACGAAGCTTCGGGGCATGCTTCTGGCCCTCGAGGGCCCCCATCGTCGCAGCCGCTGGACGCGGCTCGAACAACTTGTGCGTTTAGACCTCAGGAGGGGTCTATGGGGCCGATTGCGAGATGGCGTTGGCCGGCGACGTCGACGACGACGACGACGACTCCCCTCTATCTGGTACCGTTTATCTTGTACCGTTTACGTGCAACCCTCTATTGTGTACCGTTTACGTGCAACCCCTCTATCTTGTACCGTCTACGTGCAACCCTCCAGTCGCGTCGATTCTACCCTCGATCTTGTACCGTTTACGTGCAACCCTCAATTATGCACCGTTTGCGTGTACATGTCCGTTTATCTTGTACCGTTCACGTGCAACTTTCTATCTTGTATCGTTAACGTGCAACCCTCTATCTGGTATTACGTACAACCCTCTATTTTGTACCGTTTACGTGCAACCCTCTATCTTGTACCGTATGCGTGCACCCCCTCTATCTTGCACCGTTTACGGAGCTTCATGGGCGGGGGCAATATGGCCCCAAGAGAAGCCCACGGACCGCCCCAGAGAGCTCCAAGACGGCTCCAAGAGGGCCCGCACAGCAGGCGTTTCTGTAAAGACGGGGCCCGAAACGGAGATGCTATCCTTTCATTGCGTGCCAATGGTTTTTCCCCCATTCTATGCGATGCCGAATGTTGTCGCTCGAACTTGCCGCCTGGGGGGCTTCTTGGGCCGTCTTGGAAGCCTCTTGGGGTCGTCTTCGGGCCCTCTTGGAGATGCCACGGGGCCCCCGTGCGCCTCTCCGATGGCTCGCGAAGGCACTGACGCAGTTCCAACGGGCTCCCCAGAGGGCTCCAAGAGATGCCCCTATAAAGCCCACACATGTTCCGCGTCGAGGCCAGCCCCGCTCCACGAGCACCGCTTCACACGCAAAAACACGCAAGCCAGCCCGACGCTGGAGCGCACGATATGTGCGAAGGGCAGCCTACCAATCAATCACTTACCTGCCTCCCGCCGTAGCCGCTCGGACACTCGAGCAGCGGCAAGGGGGTGCACAGCCGCGGCGGTACAGAGCTGCATATACACAACGGTCCAGTACCCTCCCCGTTGTCGTCCACTACCCTTCCCCCCGTCAGCCTCCCCACTGCCCTTCCAACTATGTCAAGCTGCTTCGGACGGACGCTCCAGCAGCTCAGCTCCTCTTGGCCCTCTTGGGCACAGGCGCAGCCTTCGACGGAGCCTTCGGCTTGGCCTTCGAGCTGGAGCCTGAAGCCGCCGACGGATCGGGCTCCGCAGGCGAAAGCACGGGCTTGAAAAGCTTATCGCCCTTCTTGATAGGGGCGGGATTCGTGAGGTAAGGAATGCGCGCGAACGACGTGGCCTGGCCTTCGCCAGCGGACACGTGCACGCGCTGCCACTTGACGCACATATTCACAGTCGACGGGGCTTTGCCTGTGGGGACGGCCCAGAACGGCACCTTAAGGGGCTCGGGGCCTTTGGGGATGGGGGCGAGCTCGAGCTTTGGAACCAGCCAGCACTTTTGGCCGCTGGCCAAACCCGCCACCTCGACCTCCACTGCGGATGTTGGGACCTTGGGCCCTGTTCCCACAGACGTGGTCATGGGCACTAATTTCAGCCCGTGCTTGGGGATGTCACCTGCCGCGGTGACCGACACAATCTGAGGCCTCTGACCGTCGCTGAAAGAGACGGCGAACGAGAGAGCATGCTCGGACCGCTCAGCCTTGAGCTCGCAGCACAGTCCCCACAAGGCCTTCTTCACGTTGGCCACGGCTTGGTCCGCCATCACGGAGGGGTTCTCCTCACGCGAGGGGCGGCGGCATCGGAAACGAAGACGACAACGAAGAACGCAGGCACCCAAAAAGCAAGACCTTGCAGCCCCGACGGCGCCCCGAACAAAAAAAAACAAATGATTTTCAACCCGAGGGGGCCACCGACAAAAACGGCTTGTCATGCGCCGACAGACCACGGAACCAGGATGCCTCACGGCTCGTTGGGTGTAATCCCACCAGCCTTCTGGGCGCAGGTGGTCTAGTGCGTTTCAGTTTCCAACCTCCTCCCTTTCCCTGCTCGGGAGGTTTACTTCCCCCCTCCCTGCATCTCGACAGGGCGGGGGGGGGTCCCGATGTGTCAGAGCGTCCTTCTTGGCCCAAGATCTCTACAGGAGGGCCCCAGAGACTCCAATATTGCCACCGAGATGGCCCAAGCTAGCGGTAGACGGGTCAAGATAGCCTCCGACACGCGTCCAAGAGGCCTCAAGACGGCCCCAAGACGGTTTCAAGGGCCTTCCGAGGCCCCCAAGGACAACTCCCCAAGATGCCCAAACCCTTCAAACACCTAAGGAAAATCAATGTTGTTTGCCTTCTCGCTGCTTCGCCTCCGAAGGGCTCTTGAGGCCTCAAGATGGCCCCAAGATTGCCTTAAGGCAGCCCCAAGAGGGACCCATGAGAGCCACAATACGGCCCCAAGAGCGCCCACGAGCGCTCCAAGAGCGGGCCACGAGGGCCCCAAGACGGCATGTTTGAGCCTCCGAGGGGTGGGCAGGATTTAGCGCCGCCTTTCTGTTTGATCACTGCTGCCTAAGACTGCCCCAAGAGGCCTCCCAGACCACTCCCAAGAGCCCCAAGAATGCCCCCAGACCCCCCAACAGAGCCCCGAGAGGGCCCCCAGACCCCCCAACAGAGTCCCACGAAGCCCCAATAAGGCCCTAAGATGACCTCAGGAGAGCCCCAAGAAAGAGCCCCAGGATGCCCCAAGAAGGGCCCAAGAGAATCCCAAGCGGGCCCCAAGCTGCCTCCAAGTTTCGGAACGCACGCGAGTTTAAGACACAAACCAGTGCAACAGCCATTACGAGTCATCGAAGTACCCCTCGCCTCTCATCGAAGCACCATCGCAGCTTGCACCGATTCCCATCTTAAACTTCAATGCGGGTAACTACGTGTGATGCTTGTGTTCTCGAAGACGGCTGTGCGACTGCATGAACTCACCTGCTGATCGTTTCTGGATGGGCTGGTGGGGATACGAGAAGCGTCAAGAATTCATTGAAGCAAATACACCCACCGCACCGTAATTCACCCTCTTATTGGGCCCTTCCTGGGGCCTTCTCGGGGCACCCCCCTATGTGGACGTCATCCTCATCCTCCTCCGCCTCCTCGTACCCGTGCCTCAGGAAGCCCTCGAGTTGGCGACGACGCATGACTAGGAGGGTATAGTGGCAATGCATGGTGACACAATGGAAACCACTATCGATCTCAATATCGGTCGGACTATCGATCCCTGACGATATCACTATCGATATCACTCGATCCATCTCACTATCGGTACGCCTATCGATTGATACCACGATCGATCTTGCAATCGATCCCAATATAGATCGCAATATCGATCGATCTCACTAGCGATCTCACGATCGTCTCATTCAATCGGTCTCACTATCGATCGATCTCACTACCAATATCTCTGTTGACCCCCAAACCGACCCCACAATCGATTCAACGATCGCTCGATCTCCCCATCGGCCCCACGATCGGTATCAATATCGACCTCACTATCGATCGATTCCCATTTCGACCTCACTACCAATCTCACTCGCACTGTGGCTCAAGTTGCCACTTCCGAGGGTTAAAACTGAGGCCTCAGTTTTAACCCTCAAGCGGGCCAGGTCACCGAAGGCCATGGCGCCGTTTGTGGACGTACGCTGTCCTTTCATCTGATCGCTCCTGATCGCTCCTCCTCCTCCTCCTCCTCCTCCTCCTCCTCCTCCGCCTCCCCCCCCTCCTCATCCTCCTCCTCCTCCTCCTCCTCCTCCTCCTCCTCCGCCTCCACCTCCCCCCATCAACCCCCTCATCCATCCCCCTCGGAGGGAGGGGGCAGGGGCAGTCCAAAACGTTGTCGATCGTGCTGTAGATCCACTCGTGCACAACGGGGCGCACGTACACCTATCGGGGGAGGGGGGGTCGCTTGATCGATTCATCATGTTATCCGCTCCTCCCCGATCGCGCCATCATTACATCCTTCCGCCAAGCCTCTTCCCCCTTTCCCTCCTTTCTCCCAGCCCCTTCCTCCTTCCCTCCTCGGCCTCCTCGTTAAACCCAGATCGGAGGGAGACGACGACGATGACAACGACGACGAACCATAATCAAAAAAGGCTGGCCTTGAAATCGTCGATGCACTTGGCCAGGGACATGGTGATCGTCGGCGGCGGCGTGGGCGGCTCGCCCTTGACCTCAAAGTCCAGGTCGCCCTCGAACTCGGACCTGATGACCACCTCCTGGCCGACAAAGTTCATGAGCACCATCGGCTTGGACTCGGCGTCGGTGGCGCGCGGCTTCAGGATGCACCCGACTGTGTAGCCCATGGCCTTGGCCCCGTCCACGCTGATGGACGCACCTGCGAACTCGCGCATGCCACTGGCGCTGGCGTTGGAGTCCATGGCTTGAACCCTCGAGGCGCCGTCGACGGAGAAAGGCGGGTCCATCGACCTGGCGCTGGGATGCAGCTGGTACAACTCCTGCAAGAACATGACCTGGACGCCCTTCAGCGTATCGTAGTGCTGCCTGCAGCGCGACTTCTTGCCGTGGATGCTCATGACTGCGCGAGTCTCCATCGACGCGACCAGCTTCACACGATCAGACTTTGGGATCTCGGGGAAAGCCTTCACGAATGCGGCAGCTGCGCGGGCCATGCACGCGGCCTCGATGCACTTCACTTTGTTTTTTCCGATGATGGTCTGGATATCGCTCGATGCCAGCAGGGTCGACTCGCCATCGCGCGTGAAGTGGTCTGGCGAACACATCATCGCCTTCACGCACGAGGTGACGTACTCAGCCCCCTGCGAGAACTCCAAGCTAGCCAACGCCCTCCACACGGGGCCCTTGATCTCACGGCGCACCGTCAGGCTCGACGCGAACTCCTTCAGCTCCGCTAGAAATGGGGCTGTCGAACCGCCACTCCATTGGCGGACGTATGCGCACAGGTCGATCGCGATGCCCTTGGCCGAGGGAACCTTGTTCACCTCCCTCGCGATGTAGTCCCAGCGGGAGTCGCCGTGCTTCTGGTAGTTGGCAATCGCCATCTGGTGTATTTGGCACAACAACTGAATCTGCGTTTGCTGCCTCTCCGTTCCGTGCTTGGCGTTGCCAGCGCGCTGGAGAAATTCTGGCAACGTTGGGCACACCTGCTCGATCTCCTTCCTGATGATGGTGAAGTGCATGCCTCGGTCGAGCGGCACAGCGTAGGTCGGGCAATAGGCCAAGACCTTCTCGCGAGAAAGCCTGCCGTCCTCCGTGCACAGCGCTGCGACGTGGCTCTTGCATCTGTGATGCACGCACCTGCTGCCAGCAAGCGCGTGGGAACCACCGACCGTCAGGTACTTGACCTTATGGGGCTCCGACGGGGCAAGCAGTTCGCCCGAGCGGGCCACGAGATCCACCTTCAGTGGAAGGGAGGTGCCACGAGTGCCCATTGGAGTCCAGGACGCTGCAGGGCACATGGTTAAACTCTGCCCGACAGCATACCAGACATCCAACAGGCGCCCGTGGCCCGCCCTGCCACCTGGAACTGCAGCTGCTTTGCCCTAGTCTGCGGGTCTTCGCTGAGCTCGAACGCCGTCGCTCCAGCGGCTGCGTCGTCGCACCATCCCTTGTTGGCGATCAGCTGCAAGAGATCGTGCACGTCCATCGGCTCAAGGCCCATGGTGTAGCGGTTCTCTGGATGAGGCGCGAACGCCTCCTTATCTTCCGTCACCTCGTAGGCGAAGTCCGACTCCAGCAGGAGTCTCTTGATCTGCTGAGCCGTCGCCATCTCCTGCTTCGTCGTCACTCTGGGGTCGTCCATGGGCGCGAGCAGCGCCATCACCTTCTTCTGCACATTCTGAAGGTTCTGCTCCATCTCAGCTGACAGCGGCATCCTGGCGATACCCAGCGTCCGAGATGGAGACCACGCTGAAAGCAAGATCCACTGTAGGCCCGAGCCAAAACGGCAACCCACGAGGGGGGCGGCAAATGGGAAAGGTGGAATGCCCAAGACGAGGGCCTCATCCTCTTCACCCTCTTCCTTCACCCTCCTCTCTGCTCCCTGCCTGCTCCTTCTACTCCTCCTCCTTCACCTTCTCCTCCTCCTCCTCCTCCTCCTCGCCCTCCCTTTCCTCCTCCGCTAACCTTACTTACAACCTACATGAAGTAACTTGGCGATCCTACTTCGCAAGATATGATAACCACATGGAGAACCAGCTTCCGTTGGTCACCGACTTAGCTATTCAAGTTATCCTATTCACTCCTATTTGGGCCTACATCGCGTGCTTACAAGTTGTATCACACACATACAAACCGCTTGCAATCCGTATACAACTGATCTGGATCACCCTGAACCATTTAGTAACCAGGGCGGTTTTCCAAGCAGTGCACTCGGCAC